TTCAATCTACAGAGTTGTTAACTAGATACCAGCTAATAGGTGGGGATTAATTGAACGAGACACTTCAATCTACTGAGTTGTAAACTAGATACCAGCTAAACAAGACAAGCTAAACTGAACAAGACACTTCAATCTACTGATTTGTTAACTAGATACCAGCTAATAGGTGGGGATTAATTGAACGAGACACTTCAATCTATTGAGTTGTAAACTAGATACCAGCTAAACAAGACAAGCTAAACTGAACAAGACCCTTCAAACATGGAGCTAGAAATAGTGTATATATTTCCGAGGATTTTTCCATATCAGTAGAAACAATGTGTTTAAAAACTGCTAATTTTATAAAGGCAGTCTTTATTGAAGACCTTATTATAATACTAAGTTTCTTTAAATCATGTACAGTTAAAGTTGGAAAAAGTTAATATGTCTATGCCAGTGCTTAACTCCAGTTTCGTGATAGGAGCAGACGAGAACAATGAAACATTTTACCTGGATATGATGCCAGCCCATTGTAGGTTAACCCCCACCTATTAGTAGTATCTAGTTTACAGCTCAGTAGATTGAAGTGTCTTGTTCAGTTAACCTCCACCTATTAGTGGTATCTAGTTTACAGCTCAGTAGATTTGAAGGGTCTTGTTCAGTTTAGCTGGTATCTAGTTTACAACTCAGTAGATTTTCAAGTGTCATGTTGTTAAGATTTTATGCTTATTTCTATACCAGTTTTCAACTTCATGTTGTGAAGATTTCATAATATATTTCTATACCAGTATTTCAACTTCATGTTGTGAAGATTTCATGCTTATGTCCATACCAGTTTTCAAATTTAATGTTGTGAAGATTTCATGCTTATATCTATACCAATTTTCAAGTTTCTATGATTATTCAAATTAGTATTTGATGTAGTTGTAAAATTTTGTAATAAATTAACATTGCAAAGCATACGTCGAAGTACGGAAGGTTTTAAATGTTGTGAAAATTTCATGTTTATTTCTATATCAAGTAATACCTTTAATTCAGAACTTATACAATTTGTGTAAGGAAGCACGTGACACTAGGACTACTTGTTTTTATAAGACACAACGATTTGTAACATAAAATATTTTAATACATACTACATGTTTGGACAGAAAAAGATGGCCTGATGCATTAAATTGTTTCATTATGCTTACAAATCATTGTGTCTTATACATAAAAGTTTGTTATGAAATTTTTTGTGAATAGATATAATTGTTTCCTGTTTACTCGTTCACTTAAATATTTGAATATTACATAATCTTTGGCTGACCACGAAGCGCTGGCAACCATTACTGTGACTTTGCTTAATGATGTTTTAAAGAGGCTGAACATACTAGACTATGTACTAAACACCTATGATCATTAACATTTTTCACCTTTGCCCTATGGCATTTAGTTCATACATGCTTAATAAAAATACAAAAAGCTTGGGTAAATGTATGAATTGTACTTATGAATAACTACCTTAATAACTACACACTTCACACATAGCATATGTGAAAACAGTTTTGTCATCATTTCCTTTATTCAAGTACTGGTGGAATGGAAAACATATCATTGTTTTCTTGTTTACTTTTTAAAATAAAAATAATGTATATAACGTGAATGTTTTTTTTTCTAACTTAGAGATATAAAAATATTTGTAAAAACAAATTGTTTATCTAGGAGTGATAAAATCAGTTTGTCATATACTCCAACAGTGTACAGCAAACTTTAATTGAAGAGAGAAAAAAAATAAACTTACCTATTCAAAATAAAGTGTGATTGTCTCCTCTGTTTAATTTTTTCAACCTTTTGCATAGCACTCACTACATTGATGAAACAAAAGAACTTGTAAATTCACTCTTTGACTCATCAAGTGGTGCTTCATATAATTTCAATCTAACAATCTATTACAGATATGTAAAACAAAGTTAGTTAAAACTCTTGGTTAGAATAAACCATAACAATATACATTCAAACTATAAACACTTCATTTCAATTTGTAAACCCTTATGGTGCTCAAAATGATTTATTACTGCATTTGAAATCACCAAGTGCAAAAGTACTCAGCCGTCTACACAAAAATGATGTGATAATAAAAAAACTTAAACCCATATCTTATACACAACTAGTGCCTTCTGGTGAAAACTAAAGCAACTAAAAATAATGTATAAGGTAATGATACATGGATCAATACTTTTGGCAGTTCAAATGTCAACCAGTTCCTTTGAAAATGAGTCATTTAATAAGCTGTTTTATATTAAGTTTACAACGTGTATAACTTTTGATGAATTCTTAGACACACAGTGCAGGACCAATTTTAAGCCAATACTAAACCTGTTAAACGTTTCAACTTTAGATACCAGTTTGATATCTAAACTGCCAAAAAATGGTCACGGTAGAAAAAAATTCCCATTTCTGAGCATTAATCTTTACACATTTGCAAACACAGTTTTTTTTGGAAAACTGAGAGATGATTGACTTTGAAAGTGCACTATCAAAAACAATCTTTGCTTCATGAAAACTTTGTTCTTTAGCTATATGACATACAGTTTTATGAAGGACAAGATATACAAAAGAGTTTCATCTTAGATTCATAAGAGAGACTGTACGGCACAATATTACCGTGTTAACCAATTTATGCATCAAAATGGTGCAAGGAAATTTAATGATTTTGTGTATTATTATTACATTCAGTTAGTGTTAATTTGTTTTCAAGGCTATAAACCATTAATTGTATACTTTGAAAACTTTAAAGATATCTAGTATTTCAAGAATAGATCAAATGGTTATAATAATTTAAATATTTTTTAGATATGAATACTTTCTTTGAACTCAATGTGAAAAGTTTTCAATACAAACACTTATCATGACATTATATTAAGTAGAAAATAACAGAGATTTATCAATCTTGGCTGGACTTTCCCAACTCCAACAACGAAAGTCCTAAAATAAATAGGTAATTCCTCCATTTTTCATTTCCCTCATATCAGTATCACACACTTTTCTATCATCATCAGACAGAAAATTTAACACCCATGATGTCAATGAGACCCCTATTAATATAGTAAACTTAGACCTCTAGAAAACTGAATTGAGGAAAATAAGTTATATTAATGAAACTCCACTGTCAAAAATATTCCCAAGGTAGCTCTGCATATTAAAAAGAAACTTTAATGATTAGAAAAAGTTATAAATTTTCAGGACTATACAAGCTAAAACAGCATAGAAATTATAATGAATTATTTGAAACATCATACAACAGTTTTAGTTTTCATATCTTAGTTGCTTAATATTTCCCTAATAAATTTTATATTTCTGCAACAGCTTAATGAAATATTAGTAAAATTAAGTTAATTCTGATTCAACTGTGTGCTACTGCAGCAAAAGTCCGTTTGTTCAGTATTATTGAAATGGAAAAACCATAACAATATAATGATAAATTCAAAGTGCCTTTGATATGAATTGAAAGTAAACCTTAACTTAAAAAACTAAATACAACATTCAAGATTTAATTACAAAGGGAATAACCTGTCACTGGATTTCTTCAATGCAATTTATGTTGATATAGTATTAACAAAAAAGGCTTAACTCATGAACTTCCCAAAATAAAAATACATATACCACCAATAAACACAGAGGTGAAGTTGTCTTTTACTAGGGATGTATGTATTAAGGTTGTGATTAGCTACATAGATACTTTAAATGTAATGATACAATGCTCTTATCATATACACACACACACACATACAAATTTTTCTATTAACCTGTATTTTGCCACAGCTGTCGATCATATTTCACTGGAACATGCCTTCTTTTCTCAAATTCAAAGGTAGGATCAACAGTTAATTCCTTTCCAGCTCCTTTTCTGAATGCTTTGGTCCATCTAGTCTTCCTGGGATTACGTTTCCTTTTGAAAAGTTTGTGACATTTGGAGCGACAAAATCTGAAAGCCTTGGGTTAAAATATAATTTTACAAAGTGATAAAAATTTGTTTAAAACTTATCATTACACCCTTTCTAAAAAAAAAAAGTAAGTGAAATACTTTTACAACAGCAAACATGCCAAACAATAACTACTTTAAACAATCACTCAAGCTTGATTCTTAACTGAAATGAACAATCATTACAACAAAATTAGGAATAACATATCTCTGAAAAATACCTACTTATACCAATCATTCACATAACTTTGATGTTGTCCCTCAAACGTTATGTTAAAGTTATCCATGCAAATATTGCTTAATTAATTAATGATAATCTTGTGAGAAATTGCAGCACTTCTGTAAGATTAGTAAACAGCTGAGCAATGGATCTGTGAGAAATTAAATTTCTTATTCCATATCTTCAGTGGAAAAACTTGGGTTGGGACGCAGGCAGTTACATAGGAAAATAGACTACAAAAACCAATTTTATCATCATAGAAAAAAAAAAGTTAAAGGTTTTGAATTATTTTAACTATGGCTTTAATATTTGCTAGAAATTAAAACAGAAAAAAGTGGCTCAGATTGCAAGAAAGATACACACATAAAGAGAAAAATATACTTCAAAGGATTTTTTAAAATCTTGAAGTTTGACAGCTGGATCCATAATTCAGTTAACATAAAAATGACCATTATCCCAACATTTCAATATTAATCACGTTGTAATTATCCGATAAAGAATTTTTGTACTTTGTTCTTTCTACAGTGAAATAAATATGCTTTTAGTCTTTTCCATGGTTTGTTCGAGATAATTTGGCCACTCTCCCCGTTTCAAAAAAATATTTGCCTGAATTCATTCATGTATTACAATCAGTGCTCATTAGATGGCATTGAAACTGCAGTTTGTACTGATTTCTATCAGATTTATTCTGAATTCATATTCTTTACTTCAGTTTCATTGCAATATTATATATCATGTATAAATCCAGGTACATAAAATTCATCCACTAAGTACATTTTGTTCAGAAATATAACAACAGATCATAAGGAAAAATTTTGTTTCATTAATATAGAAGTATAGGCTATTAAAAAGTGAAAACAATCCTAACTTTTGAGTTAGTTTCCAAATAAAGCCTGATGCAAAAGGGGTTAAACTAGTTTGTAATTAAGAGAAAAATCTTTCCTTTTGTTTTTAGCAAAATATTTTAACTTCTAATGAAACATATGAAAAAAGTGCGTGTGTTTGAATGATATGATTTTTTAATCACTTTAAAAATTTCTGAGAAAATTCTCATTTATTTCAATTCTATATGCAATTTTAGTGGAAAATCTAATAATACACTAAACTATTTCTGGGCTAGAATCATTTCAGAAAATAAGTTTACGTCAATTAAAAATACTATATTTACTAATCATTTTAGTATGAGTTTATGTTAATTAAAAATATATATTTACTAATAATTTTAGTTCAACTTTATGTTAATTAAAAAATATATATTTACTAATAATTTTAGTGTGTACACGAGTTTACGTTAATTAAAAAAAATACTAATTTACTATTGTGTTTATTTAACATAAAATATATCCAGAAAAATATGGTACTATTTTAAAGTTGATCTGCTTACAGTCAAGGATGATTTAACAATATTCATTCGTCTACAGTTGTATTTGAAAAAGTTGATAAATTCAGAGTAAATTCATGTTCATGGCCTTACTCATCCTATGCTCTATTAGTCTCACATTCAATGTCAACTGATTACCCTATTAGTTAAAGCAATTACTAAATGATTAACCACAGAGATTATACCAATATCAGGGATGCTAAGTTTTAGTAATCTATCTGAGTGAAAATTTTGAAAATGTAAAATATCAGCATGCAGTAAAGTGTATGCTTGCTAAGAAAATCATATATTCTGTGAAACAGAGTGTTGCAATTAATGCATTTCCCAGATCAGTGTAATGCTGAATTTAACCAGGATACAAATGAATTATAAAAATGGTCACATGAGAATAGGCTCAAATGCACGAGTGTTGGTTGCACAGAAATATGAAAATAATTTCATTTTTCAATGCTATGACTTAACCTAAAATTTTTCCCCTATATAATTTATGTTGATGTTGAAATATTATAAGAACTGGTGTGGAGTAAGATAAGCAGGAGTAAAATAAACGTCCTGTTAGTCACATTTATTAAAGAAAAGCATTGCTAGGAAAAAAAAGATAAACAAAATATATTAATTCAGTTGACACTTTTACATATTTTATCGAACAAGTTCGTGCTTTTTTGCCGACCCACCTTTACTTAAAAACGTTCGATAATGTTTAATTACGACATTGTGAACAATCCCTTTAAGAAATGTCCATTAAAAATAAAACTTTCTTATGAATATAAGAATGGATCTTCTACTAAGCAATACTAGAGTGGCACTAGTGATAGTTGGAACGCAACTCCGTCACCGAATCTATAGACAACGTTGATTCATTAACTTACACCTAGCTCAAGATACTTTGACTTCCTTGATACATACCTTACAATCATTCCTCACGAACATAATCCCATGTCCCGGATATACAGGTGACGAGCAGAAATAACATTTTTCTACCCTCATTTTTTCTGTACAGTTTTTACAGTAATTGAAGAAACCAAATCGACATTAACCACTCCAGCATGAGGAAAGTAAAGAAAGATCTTAGCGACCTCTGCCGTGACGTAAGTTAAATAAAGATTAATTATAAACAAAATTACGACATTTATGATGTACAACATTGTTTTTGACAAAAAGGAGACATGGATAAACGTTTCGGAATTCTATCAGATTCCATCTTCAGTATCTAAAGCAGAATAAAATGAATTTACATAAGTCCTTATACATTGTCAAATATGTTCGTCTTACTAATTTTACCTTTTTTTTCGTTGTGTTTTCTTGCTGTAGTTTCTCCCCATGATTACTGTTTAGTGTTTTATTTGTTTAATTATCGTTATATTTAGCAACTGTACTTTGACAATGTTTAAAGACTTGTGTAAATTAATTTTATTCTGCTTTACATACTGAAGATGGAATCTTATAGAATTCCGAAACGTTTATCCATGTCCCCTTTTTGTCAATAAACAATGTTGTATATCATAAGTGTCGTGATTTTGTTTATTATCAAGATTAATTATATTTGTCATAAAACATTAAGTTAGGCATATTATATTGTTAACATTGCATTCCTAACCTAGTTCGTTACGGATTTCAAAAATTAATGAATGTATAGTAATAGTGTTCCAACTACACTATATTCGTTATATATCATGCTTCGCCAGCTTCTAAAAGGACTCCACATCAGAAACGCTCTTTGTTAAGTACGAGTTCATTTATTATTAAAAATGGAAAGTTGTGTAGTCTATAAAAGAAATATTTTATATATTTCTAAAAAAGAAGAAGATAAATTGGTTGTTGGTGATAAGTGTTCTCCAGTTGTGATCTTTTAAAATTATTCTATATTTTCCACGTAGCTTTAAATTCATTTGTATGTCTTCATGAAATAAACCCGTTTTTGTGATATTACAATTCATTAATTTTTGGAACATAAATGACAAAATTATTATCAATATTAATCGGCTAGTAAAGATCAAATTCTGTTCAATGCCAATCTTTTGTGAAAGGTATTGACTCTACCTTAAAGCTACTGCCAAATTTCGTCCCAGCAAACCTTGATAGCTTCACTTTAACTTAATGGATTAGGAGTTTGGAACTTTTGATTGTCAATAACGGACGCATATTAGGACTCCCGCTTGAATTCAATAGGTTAGCTAAATAGCGTTTTTCGTAGTATTAGTAACAATATATGTCGAACATCACTTAGATTTTCACACTTGTGGACATTAACTGAGGTTTCGAAACAGCATTCAGGGTTATCTGTACAATTTATATGTCAGTATAATAAAAGTAAGTGAATTTTGTAAGCAGATTGTCTTTGACTTTATATGAATCTTAAATGCTCAAAAGGCAAAGCTGTGTAGTTTCTAAAAAAATTAACAGGCTGAAATGGTCAAGAACTAACCCCCCTTCCAAAAAAAAGATATATATCATTGTGCCACTAGTTACTCAATAACAATGTTCTTCGTATATCAGTCATATCTGACAATTTCAGCTTCGTTAAAAAGCGCTCTCCCTACGCTATTACTCTAACTTATGTAACCTGTGAACTTTCCTTTTATCAAATTCACAAATTATAATAAATCATCGTCTTTAGTGATGTCATCATCAGTTTCCTTACCCCATTTTAACTCATGTTAATTTTTAAATTAAATTCTTCATCACTTCAAGTGTTTCGTAGAAGAAGATTCCCAGTAGCACAGCAGCAAGTCTTCATATTCATAGGGATAAAAATCGAGTTTCGATACACGAAATGGGCACAGCACAGGTAGCTCATTGTGTGGTTTGTGCTTAACAACAGACAAAAGTCGTGGAAGAAGTCTTATGGAGGCCAACAAAAGAACGAAATTTCCATTTAGAAATTCTCAATTTTCCTTCCACAAATTTACAGAATAAAAAATTAAATACTTTCAGTTGCTGACTCGATCCATGCATGTGTTAGCATCCATCACCCACAGCGGGCTGACTCGATTGCCGTAATTATTGGTATGGCAACTGGAAATTGTCCGAGAGTGTACAAGGGTTACTTTGTTTTAGGATTTTTTGCCCGACAAGGGAGATAAAAAAAACTGAAATAAGACACATTTCAATTTTTTTTATATACTTTTGGCTCGCATCACCCAGAGTTGGCTGGTTCGATTGTCGTAATATTTGGTACGATGCCTGGAAACTGTGTAACAGCGTACAAAGGCTGTTTTTCTTTAAATTTTTTACCTGAGAAGAACGAGGAAATAGACCCTGAAATTGGGCACACTTCCACGTTTTTATAGACATTTGGCTTTGACTTTAAATACATAAGCACTTGAACAGTTAAATGAGTCAATTATTACCTTCCACAAAGCGGGGTATACAATTAGCGTCTAATGAGGTCACGAGGGATTTAATAACGAAGGAAAGAAGAAAGGGAAACATTATCTAACATGTTCTTTATACAGTTTTTACGTCCTTTAACAGGTACCCTCAGCTAGTTTCTACTAAACGGATTTCTGGCAGTTTATCAACCTTCAAATATTGTTACGTATCTGCTTGTTTGATAATTTCCGGTAAAAATTCTTTCCGACTGACTTCAGCGATACAAGTCCCTTCTTG